CACAAGCTTATCTATTCAGTTTGAAACTTGAATTCAGCTTTCCATTTATGGCCAGAAGCCTTTTTGTGACTTATTTAGATTTTTCCAGTGTTCAAGGAGTAGTGGCAACATGCTTCTGTGTCGATTTGGGACTTGCCAAATGCACACTGAGCACTTTCCCTAATCTCACAGGTTGGCACATCCCACCCACAAGATCTAACATGCCCAGTCCCCAGGACAGTTGTGTGACTAGACTCTTGTGAAAAATGCATCAGTAGTAAGTTGAATTCCTTCCTCCTGTAACACCTACTTTGTCCAAAAGGAGGTATTTTATACCCTCAGGACCCTCTCAAGTAACCCTGATCAGAACAGAGGCAGAGTGTATATTTTATTAATAGTACTATGACAGCCTTCTTAAGTCTGCACAACATAGCATTTGCTCCATGAGAAATACCACATGGTATGTTACATCTCAGGGAAAGCAACTGTTGGCAGAAATGCTACCCATTTAAGTATTCAGAATTCTGAGACACAATAGAGTTTTTTTACTCCCTGGCTACCACATCCTTGAGGCAGATGCATGACCTAGGGGCCAGAACCTCATAAAGAAGCTGATGTCTCTAGCAGAGTCCTAGGTCATATCTATAAAAGCAAAGGAAAAACATGATGTACATCAAGACTATCAGGGCACAGACCTGAGGCATTCCCAGATCTCTAAGAAATCAAGGCACTGATGCTCCACATGCTCAACTTGCCTTTCAAATCATTGTCCTAACTCAAGGGCTTAACCTTCCCTATTTTTCCTTCCCTGACCATTCTACAGAACAGAAGACACAATTCCTGATCCAGGAAAAAACAAAAGTGATTTTGCCAGCACACTTTTCTCAAGGTAGGCATCATATCCCGATAATCCTTTCTACTTCCTCTCTCACCACACACCCCTACCCCTTACCCAGCCATTTTTCATGATGTAGCTTCAAATTATTTTGAGACTTAAAATGACCTTAATTTTACAGTTGTTTAAGTAAGCTGAATTATATATTATAGTATGTATCATGCTAGGGGCTTCATACTCAAGAGATCATAAGCTGTTCTGATCAGGGTAACTTTAGAGGTTACTCAGGGCATAAAATATCTTCTTTTGGAAGCAAGATGCTCTCTTCAAATCCAAGCACCAAGTAGGACAACAGATGCAGTTTATAAACTCAATCTCTGTAGCCAGTATTCCTTATCATACCTTAAGATGACACAATTGTTTGTGCAACAAATTGCCCAGCAGCATATCTCCATTAGAATAATGATCCAAAACTGGATCCTTCTCCAAAGGCAAGTTTTAGATGCACTCTATGATGCAGCACACAGAAGGCTGTAGTATAGGCAGCCTTGATCTGGCATTTGATTGCAAATGTTTCATGCAATCTGAGGGCTGGTGTTAATTCTTTCTGAAAGGCAGAGATGCCTGGAAGAGCTATGTCAACATGCACAGCTATCAGGAGAAAGAGGAAAGGCACGACTGTAAGGCTACACATAGAATAGGGCCTTCTGGCTTTTAGGGGATTTTAAACAAAAAAAAATGCACACGTTTTCCCCAGCCACTGCCACAGTCTTATCCATGAACTAAGGAAACCTTTTCTCCTCTCAGGTAAGGGATTACCACAGAAAACAAACAGACCCTTCTCCAGGTCTTCTGCACATTCAGTGCAGGCTGATGCGAGTAAATACTCAAAGGGACTTAACTTCCCTTCCCCTAGCATTCCCAGAGAGAAATGGAGGACAGAGCCTGGATGTTATGATCACCATCACTCTGACCTGACAGTGTCTATGCCATTCACTTCTGTTCAAATGCAGCATCTCCAGCCACTGCTTCTCTGCAGAGCTCTCTCTCAAGCATGAAGAACATCCTACATCTGATCCAAGCAGTGATGCTTGGTTACAGTCTAGGGAAAGCAGCACAGGCTTGTTTCTGTGACAGGCCACATGTCACCACAGCAGCTAGAGACTGACGCCAGGGGAGAAGTAAGGTCAGCTACCCATGATCCTTAGAAATCAGCATTGTAACTATCCCTATTGCTGTCATGGCACGCTTGATAGCAATCTCATTCCATGCACAGTCCAGGATACTTCACATCATATACCACAGAGAACTCCCTTTATGCTCATGTAGTTACTCTGGGACATCAAATCCCAAAGAGGTTGTGGATAAGGCAAAGATGCAACATCTGTTACTGTGGCGTTGGGTACACACCCAGCCAAACTGAGATTCCCACCACAGAGCATTTCAGGAATTGGACTGCCAGGGATTCTCTCTGAACCTTTGTGATGGATTTCCTGAAGACAGGACAGACACTTATAAATATCAATACCACAGCAGGTGTGTTCAGCCACAAAAGATGATAGCTTCTTATCAACATGCATTCGTTATCAACATACTCTACCTTAGCTTCAGGTCAAGTCTTTGAGAAGCCTTTCCAAACCTTTTCATAAAGGCTGCTCTTTTTTCTAGTCATCACAACCACAAATCTGGGGATTTTTGGCTGGCACTATCAGCAGAAGAAACTTCAAGCCTGACTGAACTCAATTCTAACCACAGACAGCATGGGAACAGATAGACTGTTCAATAATTAATTGAAATGAATCAACTCAGGGACTGCCTATTCTTTTAAATTAAACATCAACTCAGAACAAACTGCCTGACAACTGCAAGACCACAGAACTTTTAGGAAGAAAGGATAAGCTCTGAATAAAAATATTAGTTACTTCAGACATCATGCATTTCTATTCAGAGGTAAGCTTACTTTCTCATATTGAAAGCACAGGGTCTTATTTCATATGGACACCTGCTTTTGCCTAATCCTCTACTAACTCAAGGAGCACAAAGCATGCACAAATGTTTTAGGGTCGTATTTCAACTACCCTTACACTGGGTCTCCAGAGTTCAAGAGTTAGGGTGCACGAGTAACATCGAAAAACTGATAAAAAGCTGTTTTATTTTCTGTCTCTCCAACAGTGCATTCTGCTGGGCTATGCAAAGTCCTGCTCTCTAGGATTAAGCCACTTTAAATGCAATCAGAATGATTTAATCAGATTAGTCAGGCTAAACAGATAGCCATCAGATGTTTTTCTATTCATCAGACAACAAAACTAACAAACATAACAAAGGAGTAAATATTTTGAGGCAAGTCAAACTTTAATCAAAAGGTCTTCTTCAGAAGCAGTAGATACATAATAGAACTCACTTGGTGAATATAAACAGAACCTTTAAAAACTCTCCAACAAGATGCCTTTGGATTTTCATTTATCAAGTAAAGTGCAAAGGCAACACCAGAGTAATAATAAAATCCCCACACATAAAACTACATGCTTGAATACAGTCAACATAACCTGACGCCATGGACGTTTATGGTGAGACCTTCTCTATCTACATTAGGACAAGATGACTGGAAACTAAATACCCAAATCTCAAAACACTCAACATCTTCACAGGTATATCAATCATCTACCTCCTACTAGCTGCATCACATGAATGTGCAGAACACTTGCTCTATCATTACAATCAATTAAACCCTATTTTCAAAAGTGCCTTTAAGATCTTGGAGAGCTCCTCATGTTTCCTTTATCATGACATGGAGCAGATATAACAGCTTATCAGTTGCACCAAGCACCAATTAGGCAAAAGGATATCTTCTAATTGCAATGGCTCATAAACCTACTGTCCCTTACTGCAGCTAAACCATCCAGTATCATCCACTAAATATATAATTTGCTATGACTAATCTGAAAAAGGAGAGAGAACGAACTCCAGTCCTAAATGCAGGAAGAAATAAGCCAATGCACTACAAACTTAATAGTTTAAATTACAAGTGCTCATCACTGCTGTATAAAGAGCAAGAAATTATTTGGACTAATTTGATTTTCTGATAAATTCCTTGACTTATAATTAATAGATTTACACTAATGAGAAGTAACAGCTCCCAGCCCTTCTATAACGTACTGAAAACTTCCAAAGAACTGTTTCCATGTCATTTCCTGTGTCTCTCTTCAGAAATGCTTTAAGAAAAGAAAAATATGAACACTTGCATGAAAAAAGGATCTTTGCATCCAACAGCCTCATCTTCCCCCACTGATTAATCTTTCCTGAGGGCCCAAAACAGGAGCTGCCAATAGAAAAGGAAAGCATACAATCAACTTAACTGGGCACGAGAGTGACTTTTACCGCAAAATGAGAAAAAAAAGACCTGCTGTACATCCAAGAAATGCACATTTGATCTGCACAAAGGTAAGTGTTGACTGGTCAAATTGTCACAAATTAAAAACATACGGCCCAATACCTCAGAACATTTTATAGACTGCACAGCCAACAACTAGGGTATTGATCCTGATAAACAAAATACATAAAAAACAGAGTTGCATAATGCTGGCACAAGGAGTTTAAATAGTTCAAAGGCATACAACAATATCACCACTAACATTTCCCTACATGATAGAAAAGGAAGGATACTACCAAGAACAGCAATTAAAGGCTCACGGGCATCCTACAGTGTCTCATTTTGACTACTGGTAAAAAAACATCAGAGAAGCAAGGAAGGAAAGACGGAAGCTACAGAAAGATGTAGCTCTGCAGCCCTCCTCCAACACCAAGAAGTCCAAGTCTGATTGAGGAAAAAATTCCATAAGCAAGCTGATCAACTGTTTTTAAGTGGAATAACACAATGTCATGCTTTGGCCATCTCAACCACATACACACATGACAGCCTTCATAGTGCCAACTCCCATTACTCTTATTTTTTCATCTTATCACACCACAGTACAAAAATTCTATATTTAAAAGCGAGGTACAGAGTGGTATTTTTAGGTATAAAGGCACATGCAGGAAAATGCAGTGTTTATGTGGCTGCTGCCCAATAAGCATCTTCAGAAACACTGTTTCCCGTGCCAAACGACATTTCTGTTTCACAGCAGCTATAAAACACATGTGAACTGCCATGCAACTGGAGCTCACACGTGCAACTGTCATTTCTTACCAGCCATTATTCTCTGGGCTTCATATGGTTCCATATAGCCAGTGTTCTCCCCTTTTCCCATTCTGTTCAACTCACTTTTGGCATCAAACGGATCTGAGTAGTCATCAGCTATCAATACCTGAAAGACAGGAAGGTAACTGTTACTGAAGTCAGATGTGCAAAGCAGAAGGCAATGATATCCTATCAGCAAATAAAAGCAGCTTCACTTGGCTGCATCCTATGCCATCTTCAAAGTACAGTCTTGGTTCAGAGGAGAAATACACAATTGCTACAGATCAGTTACTAAATGGTACTGAAACAGAAGTGTGCTCCTGTTTATACCGGAAACCTCATAAAGGCAGAATCCAACGTCAAAAGGATTTCTGACTAGCACAAGCAATGGAATAATTGGGATGGATAAATTAGAAAGAGCCAACCAGCCAGCAAATTCAATCCAGTGCAAATCTTATCAGAGAAGTCTGCTAATATTAAAGAAAAAAAGCACTCTTTCCTTTGCACCTCCTCTGCTTTTAAGGTTTATAAGCTACAACTGAAAATATTGCCAGAAATTTTTAAAACAAATATTCTAAGGTTACTCTTTTCACTGCATTAGTAAGAAGCCTTTTCATCTTATGTTCCACCTGAAAAAAAACAAGACACAAAACAAATTTCTTGGCTGAACTGAAACCCTGAAACCCACCTGTGCCATTCTTTCTCTCAAAGGAACATTATTGTTATTTATATTTTGTGAACAGAGACAAAATATAGCAAAAAGAAATTATCTGTCAGAACACATTTTATTCCTCCACTAGGAGATTAAAAAAATCTGAAGGTTAGAAAATCTCACATTTGACCTTACATTACTATGCTTTCCTGACCACTGCAAAATCATTGTATGCTGTAGGTCCCATCTATAGGTTTTTTATCAGTCAATTCAAGTCATAGGAATCATTCCTCCCTACAACTGAAGTGGTAGAGCTGATCTTTGTTTCTGGGATGTGACAAGCAGACTGGGGCAAAGGCAGAAGTCCTCATATGAGAATTATTGCAGAGCACAGAGATAGAATCTACAGCAGGCAAAAGAGTTTGAAGCAAACAAAAGCAGGCAGAGGCAGGCTTCAACATCAGAATCCCTATGAAATCATAAGATTATTCAGGTGGGAAAGAACCACTAGAGATCACCCTATCCAACTCATCACTTAAAGCAGGGCAAGCCTAAAGGGTTTTGCCCTGACTGCTTACTTTATTTACGAGGCATTTTTCAACTGAGTTACTTTACATTTTTAAGACAAGCACTAGTAAGACTTACAGCACAGTGCTATTCCAACAGTTTCAATATTTTCAACAAAGAACCAGGAGTACATTGCCAGCTAAGAGACTGAGGCAGCATCTGCTTCTGTCTCCTGCTGCCAGCATATCCCACCAGTCAGAGAAGAAAAACAGGACACGCAAGTATTCACAGATCAAACACCTGCACAACTGCCATGGCATAAATGAGCACTCTATTAGGAAAGGCAGAGATCTCCTTTAAGATTAGGAAACAAAATGTCTAACACACTTCAGTGTCATTACTCAGGCCCTGCAACACTGGCACACTGCAATTTTATACTACTTATTTTGCTCATTTTACTACCAAGACTGACGTTTCAATTATGGGTTTTTTGTATTTTCCTCTGCTCAGAGTCTAAAGTGACTGGAAGCTTTTTTTTGACCAGAAATCACCAGACTGACATGGATCATCGAGAGAGAAAAACATAATTCTTTCTTTCACTTGGTGTCCAAAATTACTCCCTCATTATTTCAAAAAACAGTTAACACAAAGGGGAACAGTCCCCACCCCCCGCCTGGCAGCATATGCCCAAGCAGCAAATCAAGTGACAGCAGCTGCACACACTTGAGACAAAGACAACAATGTGCATCACCCAGCAGTAATATTTCCTAGTCACAAGGGCAGTTTTATTTCCAAAATTGATGCAGATGAAACACCATCCATGTTGTCTTCTGCTCCGACCCTCTCAAGAGCTGCTAGGTGATCGTATGTGCTCTGTGCTGCTCTCCTTCGCAAACATCGACACATAGTACTCGACAATCCTTTGCATAACTACTAGAACATGAAACAGAAAAGTAGACTTGGCACAGCTATTTGACATTTCTTCTTCTCCCTTTGTCCAAAGTACACTAGGAGGAAAATTATACGTAAAAGATGCTGTCAAACAAACCCCCCTCCCTCCAAAAAAATGCAACCCAAAAACCTCCAGCCTAAACAACACTGTCCCACAGCAAATCCCAAACCCACTTTTCAGCACTCAGTCAGGCAAAAAGAGCAGCCTGCTCCACCTTTCCTGGAACTGTATATCTTATTACAAGTGGATTCACAACGCTGAGCTGTCAGGAGTCCCCAGCTGACTGTACTGTTTCAATATGTATTAAAATTCAGTAATTTGCAGCCTAGATGTAGGAGCTGGCCAGTGCCAGAATTTGATTTATTCTATACTTGCTAACAGCTATAAATTCTCCACTTCTAGGAAGTCTCAAGCATTTCTACTTCTTTCAAAAAAACCCAAAATTTTGAAAACCTCAAATGAATATGATTGCTAGTTCTGTTATAATATACTTACTGTAAATGTCTGAACTCCTTTTGACAACCCTATTTCAGAGGATTATTCTTCCTGTTTTCAGAGATCTCAACCAGAAAAAGAGTTCCTACTCTGCAAATCTTTCTGCCATCTCCCCATAAGCTACTTTTAGCTTAATGAGCTCACCTTCCAAGCCTCTATGCTTGGTTAGACAAAGAACAGACAAAAACTTTTGATGAAATAGAAGGTTCGTACATGAATTTTCTAGTTAAACAAAACACTTGCTTCATGACAGATGGTATTAATACAGTGTTCTCATACCCCTCTCATGCTATCCTGAGAAAGAAAAAGTGTGTCAATGTTACACAAATATCACAGGCACATGCCTTGCATGTGCAGTGGGGGTTCTGCAGACCATGATCTTGATCACCTCCATGCCACACAGGGAAGATCCACTGTGATAACACCATGCTGTCACCTCTTCCCCACAGGCACGTAGGGGCAGGTCTTTCTGTGTGACAACCAGTGTGCTCCTGTGTTCAGCAGAGCTCATTAGCTTTCCAGAAAGCGGCATTTTGTTTGTTTATATTTCTTCCAACAACCTTTCAACCGCTGCCCAGCAAACTGATCTCAGTCAGGCATTTGTTTTCTACAGTTCAGAGGCCAAGGCAAGCACAGGAGACCCCAGGTTAGGGCCAGCATGCAGTGCCCCTTCCAGCTTTGACTGAACACACTTCCAAGGCAAATGACTGGAAGTCATCAGTCGTTTGACTGGTCTCCAAACAGATCTTTCATGTTACTGACTGACAAACACTGGATAGAAAGCAGAAGATGATGGACAGCATCCATTGTCTACCAATGCATCCCTCCTAGAAGTCTCAGCTAGTCAGATTATCCAGGTTCTAATGCTGTACTTGCCACATAGCAAGTACACATGCCTGGACACAATCAGAGGAATGGCAACATGTTGAAATTTTCTAAGCACAGCTAAAGACAGCATTCATACACAGAGGATGACCTTTGGAGCAGGACACATTTAATTTGGCTCCCTGCTCTGCCAAATCCAGCCACCTTTGTCACAAATCCTGTCTGTCAAAATGAAAACACAGCTATTAGGAATCCCAAGAAGGTAGTCATCCAGATTCCAAATTGCTATTGAGATCAGTTGCATTTGTCAGGGTTATTGTCAAAGACCTGTGGCTTATCTCTTGACAGAATGCAAGATCTACATTCTGAGTGTGGACTATGAGCTCCTACAGCTACTGATTCCTGCTCTGTTCAAGCCTGTTCTATGGCATCCCATACATATATAATACTATTTTCTATTTTTGTACACATAGCAGCAGTATTTTGAGGCATCAGTAACATCAATCAAAATAACTTTAACACATAAATAGAAGTGCAGTTATTAAAAGACGCCAATAAGGATTTAGACAACACTTGTAGGGGCTCTTCCTTGCAGGTTGCTACTTAAAAGTCAGAAGACAGAGAAAAATAGTACAGCTCAGTTACCAGACAAGATGACAAATCAAAAACCATAACTCTAGCTAAAAAGTTAATCAGCAGATACAAGATCAAAAACCTAATAATCACTCCACCCACCAGAAAATTAAATACAGGCTGAGACTGTGGTTGGTTTATCCCTCTATTATATATTAACTAAGTTGCAAGTTTCACTGTTGATGCATAGTCTTTGTTCTTCTACAGTCTTTAAAAAAGTCTGAAAAATATTATCATATTAAACACAGGCTTAAACAGGTATCTGCATATACAAAAGCATTATTTGCATATGCAGCCACAGGAAGAAACCAAAGAAAACACCTAAGTGCATAATTTCACAGGTATCTCTATCTGACTAAACCAAAGATTTTAAAGGGAATGAAAAAGAAGGGAACAAATGAGACTTCACATGCTGAAAAAAATAGAGGTAGTCTTTTTTGAATTGAAAGAAAATGTAGAAGATCAAGCTATGTTTAAAACAGCAACATCAGCGCAGAATTGTTAGCTATTTCACTAATTTAGTGGCTACTGTGATTAAGGACACACTGTTCTAGAAGAATCCAAGAATAATTATAATAAACAACATGAAGCAAAAAACCTAAAAGACTTTTCCTGCCCACCAGGCCTTTGGAGAATTTATTAGGGGATATTTATTTTAAAGACTTATTTGTATTGACATATATTTTTATATTATCAATATTAAATAACAGAATGGTTTGGGTTGGAACATACCTTAAAGATTCTCTAGTTCTAACCTCCTTGCCACAGGCAGGCACATACTTAAATAACTGCATAAAGGCAGACCATATATTCCTCTCAACTTCTGTGAGTTGCAACTAAGTTCACCAACATCACAAATGACAGCATGTGTACATCAGCAAAAATACAGAAGACAAGGGCACTTAAAAACTGTGACTATATCTCTGAGAACATCACAGTTATCACATTTAACATGATGTAAGGAAAATTCTTCATCCTCTCTGAGAATTTGTATTCACAAAAAAACAGTCCCTAGCTACAGGAGAAGTCACTCTATATTATCATAGAATGGCCTGGGTTGGAT